CCCCTGGTGGTCAGTGCATGTCATAGCAACTGGTCAACCAGTTGACCGTCTGCCCCCTGGTGGTCAGTGCATGTCATAGGGAGCAGTTAAGCAGCCTTAGCATATCATTAGGATATTATGCTTTGATTGGTTGAATGGACGGACAACCGGACACTTAGCATATTGGACTTTTATTATATAGGATACTTTTGGCTTTCCCCAAAATTAGTAATTGTCTTGTTTTTGGATTTGTGTGTTTGTTGTACCTACTTACTGTTGGTTCTTCCCACACCTTCCAGTACCTTCAATCCCATCAGTGACTCCTTCAGCGCCAACGACTGTCCGTGGAGACGTCACTTCCCATGACCATCGTGCTTCTCTAACGGGCTGGCTGCTCTCTGGGCTGCACACAACCTTAGTCCCGGGACTGTGCTCTTGTCCTGGGAATAGTCTTTCTCATTGTCCTGGGCCGGGTCCCTTGTTCTCCTGAACCCTCTGTCTTTCTCTCTATGGTCTACTCCCCGGTTTTGGTTGAACACACCCTGTGAGAGGGCATGCGTTCAAAGTGGCGGTGCGGCGGCAGCAGGGCTGGTGATGACTATGCTCAGCAAACCAACGTCTCCATGGTCTCTCTTTCCATGTGGACTAATCCTCATCTGTGCCTACACAGGACCCCAAGATGCGCCTTCGCGATCATCCTGAAGGTGCCCTTTCCTTTCGTCCCGTGGGGGGTGGCTTTCCTGGCTCCTGACCTAGGGATTTCTTCCTTTGCTTGCTCCTCGTTTTGCTGGAGTGCCGCCTTCAGCAGTCCCTGAGCAAGAGGACGCTGGGACTGCGTTTTCTGAGACCTGCACGTACGCTTGAACCGTAGTGTGGGCGGCAGAGAGGTCCAGGTTGGAAAGAATTTTCCTTCAGAATTCCGACGGCGGCGTCGTCTGGCTTCTGGGGGCTGCCGAGAAGCCCAAACCTGTTCTGATTCCAGATCTTTGGCTGTGAAGGACGCTAAGCTTGTGAGGCCCTCTCTTTGTCCCCAGTTTCCTAAAATTGTTCCCGGCTGTATCTCAGTATTTTCATGGACACGTGGGCCTTTTCAATGTGAAGACCCCATATCCTTCTGTTCAGGGAAATGATCTTGAATTTGACGCTTTAGTGTCTCCAATTTCTTCTGTTCTCTTTCTGGGATCCTTGTTTTTCGGATATTAAACCTCCTAAACGTGTCCTCTAATATTCTAATTCTTTATTTTTCATTTCCTTTGTTTTGTTTGTTTTGGGAGCTATTCCCTCCATTTTTTTCTTCCAACCCTTCAGAGCTTTTACTTCTGTCATCATGTTTTCTGAAAAATATTAATTCCCAAGAGTTCTTTTTGTTCTCTGAATATTTACTTGTTTAGAATCCTGTTCTTATTTCATGAATGCAATTCTCTCTCTTCTCTCTCTCAGGATTTCCATGATAGTTCGTGTCCTTCTCTCGACAGCGTCTGTTTCTTGCGAGTTGCTTTCCTTCTGCTTACTGGGTTTTGTTTCTGTCATGTCAGAGGTTCTTCTTTGTCATCTAATAGTTTTCGTTTGTCTGCTCATCACTAAGAATGGGAGCTTAACATTCATGGGAAACATTGAGCATGTTGCCTCAGCAAGCATGTCAAACTCGCGGCCAGCGGGCCACATGCCTCGTTTATTTAAATAAACAAGACATGCGGCCCATTGGCCGCGAGTTTGACATGCTTGCACGGTGCTTTAGTGGGCACTTCCTGGGCAAGGCTAGTCTTGAGGTCTTTAGTTCTCTCTTCTCGGCCACAGTCCCCAGGAAAGGCTCTTCCAAGCGGCTGCCCCAGGGGTGAGGTCTGGCTGCCACCATTCTGGTGCCGCGTGAGGGGAGGGTTGGGGTGTGCAGTGCGCATGCAATCACTTCATGCCCTTAGTCGGTCACCGGCTCACAGGCTCTCTGCTTTACCAGCTCAGAGACCAAATTTCCAATCTGATGCTAGACTTGGAAAGAAGACGTTGTTCAGTGGCACGGAGTAGGGGAGGAAATGTAGGCATTTAATTGCTTCTCGACAGCTTTGATGGAGAGCCCCGGGTTTCAGCCGCCCCTGCCGAGGCTGGAGGTCTCTGTGGCTGTCCGTTACTGGTGTTTTGTTCCCTTCATATATTCATAATTGAGAGGGATCTGTTGGTACCTCACATAATTATAGAGTTGTGCAGTTTTTCCCTGTGGCTCTAATGATTTTCACTTTAGGCTAATGATTTTTTTAGGCTATTTTATTAGGCACATATTAATTTAGAATTGTTACGTCTTTCTGGTGAAGTTAGCTTTTATTTTGCTTGACGTTATTACTGCATAGTGGCCACCTCTACCCTTAAAAATGACTTTTGTCTTGAAGTTCAGTAAGGAATACAGGCACACTACCCTTCTTCTGGACTGTATACGTTTTTCAAGCGTCACTTTTCTATATCCTTACACTGAGGTGTGCCAGGTGCATGTGTTTTGAAGCCATTCTCGCCATTGTAAGTGGACAGTTTAGTGGCATTAAGCACATTTCCCTTGTTGTGCAACCATAACCATAACCATCATCCATCTCCAGAACGTTTTTCATCTTCCCAAACTGAAGCTATTAAACAAATATCACCTCCCTCCATGCTTTCCCCCCTCTATTCTTGGATTTTACAGACCTTATCAGTCTATGCTCTATATCTCTTTCGAACTTCTTTTTCAT